TCGACAACTTGGCTTGTTCATGAGATAATAATAATAGACGTGTATTCTAATCAGCTGAGGAAAATGCTAGTGCTGTAAAAGAAGAATTACTGCTTGTCGTCGACTCGTAGTGACACGGTTCTACGTCAATCGTACTATTAGATTATTTCTTCTCTAAAACATGAATACTTTAGTTAGTAATTACAAGAACACGTTCAGCTACAACAATAGTGTGTAATCGATCAATTTTTACCAGAATTCACTTTGATTCACTTGAATTTCCGAAACGAAATATAAGTGAATAATATACGGTTATTATGAGTCTAATCCTCCAATTATGTTGAACTTTGTCAGACTGTGGCGATTTAATTCTGCAAATGAGTCAGTGACCAGTAACGCAGCTGTTCAAATTAAAATAAATATTTATAGTCATATTAGATATTTCAAAGATTGATTGGGTGACTGACAAGTCATGTTACAGACAATTGAACGATTTCTTTCATAAACGTGAATTAGCTATAGCTGTATTTCAACAATGTGATGTATATGCTATGCATAAATTAAATTGCCAGAATATTGTTTATTTTTTACGTGGTGAAATTTAGTAGGAATCTAGATACATACTCCTAAACAGATGTACAGTTTAGTATAGAATAAGTGCAATTACAACAATAGAGAGGTTTAGCCAGCACGTATTCACGTTAGGAGTTGCAGTTGGCGATTAAAAAATCCGAAAAGAAAAGTATGATAAATTATCAAAATGTTACCAAAATTATGAAACCTTACATATGCTAAATTAGACCATCAGTATAAAATGAACACAATTTAGTCATATCTGTTGAATTCTACAATTTCTCATCACTCTACATTTGAACATTATATTTAACCTAATGTTGGTAAAGGTGAAATTTGTGAAGGTGACTGTCATTATGTGGTAAATTACGTCATTATGGATGATGTCATGATGTCATGTTTCATAATTACACAGCTACTTAGTCTGTTATTTCATCGTTATCTGAAACTGACGGATATATTGTCACAGTTGCTATATTGACAATTTTCACAAGCTTTTGTTGCAGCTACATTTCATTGTACCGCATTCTGTTGAACACTTACATCAGATTATCTCGAGCAGTGTAACTTGCGCAGAAATTGTGTCAAGTATGTCGCCATATACGTTCCAGTCCCACTCATTGGGATCCATGCTGTTGTCATGCCATATTCACTGCATTACTTGTGAATAAGTCTATCGAGATGGATGATTTGCGGCTTCCTCTCATGTTTGCATAATGACACTAGCGACACTATGGACACTACCTTGAGTCCCCTTAAACAAGCATAGCATTGCCTTGTGGCCAGTGGTTTCAATAGTACCTTGATTCGTCTATAGTGATCTTTGAACATGCAGACAAGACAGAATTGCCCTTGGTCAATTGTTAGAGGACATACTTTTGTCGAGCTTACAGATGTAGAGTCACTCAAAATCTTAATACACATTTGATTTCCCTTTGATTTTGGCAGAACGAAAACAACGATCCTTGCAGTCCTTTGCTCCATGATACAGTAATACTAGTAACAAGCATGTGTTTTTTTTCCAATATAGGTTGTTGAATTGTTTGATAAAATTAATTGTAATGGCTCATCGATGATAATTTTGCTTTTCTGTTGTATGCGGTTTGCAATCAGGTAGATGGCAGTTCTGTTCATATCATTTGAGAGAAAATCATCACTTGTCCAACAAATTTGGTTGGAAATCTGATATCTGATATATTGACTTTATTTGTAACATTTTCTGCGCTGATGTGTATTGTCCTTATCCCATCCGTCACGTATAGATTAAATGAGAAGGATGCATATGTATCAGCAATTGATCTGTACGGGGTTCCTTCTTTCCGTCACATTTATTTAACTGTATCTTTTACAATGAAAGGATTTTGAACATTTATATTTATATCCGTGATAATATTTCTTAAAGTTGTCTATCCAGAGAAATGTTTTTCAAGCCTGTTTGCAAGTTTTACTAACTTAGCCTGTCTGTTCCTTTTCATTTGTGAATCAGTTGCCTCCTTTTGTTGTTCACTTGATATATACACCCTATTATTGAAGTTCTTCAAGGCAAAGTTGTAGTTCGAGGATATGGGAGGAGACATTATCAACAGCTCTTCAGTCATGCCAATTCCTCTAGTTATTTAAAACCAACTTTACTCTTCAAGGACCACATTAGAGTTCGCTCAATGGCCAATCAGAGCCAAGACCAACTCACTACTGATTAGTGCAACTAATGAAATCTATGCAAACATTTCATGTACATTGCAGGACATTATGCATCTAAAGTACTTCTCAGGAGATAAATATATGCAGATTTAAGTAAATTAGCATTCCCAGCAGCAGCAAATATAGGTAAACACTCAGATATAGCATGGACGATACATTTGCCAGAACTCTGTGTGATCAGTTTTGATGATTTATCGGGCAACTTCCAACATTCGTTGATAGCTGGGCCACACTTTGCTTGTTTTTGAACTATTGGATAATTCAAATTTTAGCGCTTCAATAAAATCTGATTTTAATAATGTGTCCAATTCAATTAGAGTATATAGTCTTTCAATTTCTTGCCTGGTCCATATTCATTGACATTGATGCATCCTGTATATCTTATTTCTAAGGATTCCAGCTAAATCAAGTGCATTGTCCGAAGACATGCATGATATATAACGGGCTTATACGAGTTACTAGACTGATCTCAGCAGCATCTTTTAAAATATCTATATTAACCGAAGAATTTATTACGAGACAGCTACACAATCATTTTAATCACAGAGCCACGGGTTTAGATGCAATTGCGACTACTTTTTCTGAAGTTTCGGAAAATGTAATCCCTTCCTCTTTAACTACTTTGTTCAATCACAGCATTTACCTCAGGTTTTTATCCGGACATGTGAAAGCTACCAATTTACAAATCATGGGATAGATCGAATGTTAAAATTCATTCGAAAATCGTTTTCTTGCCAGGCTGCTCTGATTGAAGCCATATATTCAGGCAAATGTGTGATGTGTGTTTTTCTCGATCTTTTCTTTTCTCGAGGTGTTTAATTATTTGATCATTGACTATGTCATCTTATTACAAAAGCTTGAATGTTATCCATGCTCTAATGAATCAATCACACGGGTCTCATCGTATTTGAAAGAAAGATCATAGCGGGTAAATATCAAGAGTACACTTTCTTTCCCCAGGAGTTCAATTTATTTATGAATGATCTTAATCTGACTCCTGTCACCAGTTGGATATGTATGCGGATGATACGATTATTTCCATGTTTGGAAAATCTATCAATATTTCAATGTTATTTAATACTGATTTGATGCATGCGAGTATATGGTAAGAATACTGTAAAACTAGTACTGATATGCTTTTTCCATGGGTTAACAAAATAAACCCAATTTCATGTGAAGTCTCTTTTGCAATTACAGAATTATCTAATGTTACCAGAGAAAAAATCCTTGACAAGTACTAGAACAATATGATTTTTTTTAAGTAATTGGAATTACAGATTGTTTCAAGTAGTTTCTGATATCAAGTGCATTTTTGTTTCAAAGTCGTATGTACTGACTTCACTTTCTAATTCACCAAAACTTAATAACTTCACAGTGGGAGTATGTTGAATTATAATAGTTATCTTATTGTCACAGACTGCAGTTTTACGGAATTTTATGAGCATGTACCTCTAACTCTATGTATCTATGAAACAATACATAACGCGCAGTATGTATGAGAGGTGCATGTTGGGGATATTCAACTGTATAGACAAGACAAGAGCTTGTCTCAAATACAGGTCTCATAACAGACATCTCTGGTAGAGTGTTCATCTTGGGGAGCGTTTGGCGATGATATATATCACCACAACCGACACTGTACAAGAAAAGTAACAACAGTATGATATATACAGTTCATTGTAGTAATTATAGATAACCGTAGGAATAGTTTTAAAATGAAAAACCATTGTTGCTGTACTCCATAGTAGTTGTACTACTATAGGGTGGGGTATATATTGTATTTGTTTTGGGAAAATGTGTATTTGTGTTAATTTGGCAGTGAATTTGGTGATGCACATCCATTGTGTCAGTGAAGTGCTAGTTAGAATCAAGGTGCCGGATATTCACCCAATAGTGTAAATCAGAGTAGTCTTCTCTGCTTTCCAAACACGCGGTATTAGGCTTAGGGGAAAGCTTACATGTGTACTTGGAATTATCAGCTAAGACAAAAGACATTAGATATGATAGCAGTGACTTCAATGACACCCGGAACAAAAATGACGCCTGGCTCGGACCCATGGCTGTAGACTGACGTGGTGTACGTAATAACTCTCAGCACAATAACGCTAAGATAAACAACTGAAAACTGAGAACAACCGATAATATGATTGCTCATAAGGATCGATAAAAATCCGCCCTAAATAGGTAATTTTCCGTTCAACTGCGTGATCTCGCTTATTGCGTGTTCGAAACGAACCGAGCGTCTGCAGCAAAAATCGAAAAATTTAATTTTGAACCAGTTTCTTTTTTCCGTACCTCAAAGTCGAAAGGCCGATTTTTGACAGGGAAATGTTACATTTAGATTTCTTTACTTCATCGAAATTCACCATCATCAAATTTATACAGCACATTATTAAGCGTGGAAATACCCCCAGTATCCATTGTCGAATCTGGCGCCAGGTTTGACGCGATTTCTACGACGCTATGGCCTTTGTTTATCCTGGTTTGACGTTCGATTTCAAGTATAACGCTGGATCTCGCAGAGAGCGAGGAATGGTCTATAAGGTAAAATTGCGGAACATGAATATCTTCTCTCTCAAGCACACAAATAAACGAAAAGGTAATAAAAATATGCAAATACACACATGTACACAAATAAATATTCACAGGGCGTCATACGTCATTTGATGAATGATGACTTTAATTATGATGTAATGTGGCGCTAATTTACATATCAATGATATTTTAAATAATTACTTATTGCCGTCTATATTTGTTACTTTTTATAAACCATATGGTGTTTTTTTTATAAACCATATGGTGGTGTGACGTCGTCTTCTATGGACTTGCGCAGTATCCAGCTGGAGATAAAATGTAAATTTTATAATCAGATAGACGAAATGGGGAGACACGATCTACTATAATATCACATCATATTGTTCTGAGCAACAATAAAAAACTTTCAAAATTGTTTCCGTCTTGCCTGTTAAATAGGGAAAAAAACAGTTGAATCTGAGTGTCTATTTTGATCTGATAGTTAATCATGTTATGATAAACTTACGAACTTCACAAATGAAAGCCTTTTTATCTGTACAGCACACATCATCCATTTTGAAGGTAGGGTCATTTTTTGGTCTTTTCCTATGTATAAAAATATAATGCATGAAGCAATAAACGAACCAATACTCATAAGTTACGCGTTGCGTTTTGCCCTAATAAAGTGACTTGGTACGATTACAGAGTACGCCACGTACGTCACGAAGTGATTAGCTGAATAACACTTTATGGAAAATGTTTGAATAAAACACAGATTGCAAGCAGAATATTGAAATTAGAATCAACGTACCACAGTTGACAACAATCCTGGTCCCCATCTTTTGCATCGCAATTACCGGTATATTTGTTGTTTGGATAGGAATACCAGGCACTGTCAGGCACATTAACCTTCTCTCCATTCAACCATACGAATATGCCTTCATTTTCCTCGTCGTGACACCCAATCCAGTAGCCTTTCCCTTTTGGGTCGGACAATCCCGGAACATTCTTTATGAAATTTCTCACCGAGTTTCGTACACTGTTAGATTCTAAATTAGCTAAACCGGCAACAAAGCCTCTTGGAGCGAAGAGGTCCTTGCATTGTGTATCTGCGTCGTGCCACGTCAGGAAGCCTTGCCAAACCATTTTATATAAATTGTCACCAACACATAGTTCGTCTAGTATAAATGAAAATAAAATCACGACTGTTACAAATTCACGTAATACAAATTAAAATTGCAATTATTTATCTAGGGGTTAATATTTTGAATACAATCGGTTCTAAGTCACGTCATACTATCGTACCTCATACTATGAATCTATTGAATCAGTTTATCATAAAACAATCCACAATACATGGAATTAAGCAAGTCATTAATTTAACTGGTATCCCATGCTACTACAAACTATTAATGCAAAATGTGTACCCTGCTTACTATTTTCCAATGGCAACGGGCAACACAATCGAATCTTGTAGTTCATACAAGGGGACACATTGTCTTCATGAAAGCATATCAAGCCATCGGGTAAATCACAGTGTACGGTCTGTCCAGTTTCGTACGATAGTGTAAACGGTTCAATCACTGTACGACACTCAATACTGCTAGGGGTTTCGCAGAAATCATAGAAACTACGAAGATCAGGAAGGTATTCAAATTCACCAATTGCAGGGTCAACAAGGCCACCATTTTCGTCATCCATCCACTGTGTCCAATTCCTACACTCTTCATTTTGAAAGGAATATTAAATTAAAGATATATGTTAAAACTTTTTCTCAAAGCGGAAGGATAAGAGCGAAATAAAATTTTTAGTTTAAAGTAAATCAATTTCATAAACAAGTTATTACCACAGATGATATTTTTTGACTAGATACAACAGGAAATGTCACATCAAATAATTTCACATTTATTATATATCAAGTTCTAAAGCACACTCATTGTGTACTATACAATCATACAAATATACAAAAAACGATTCTTACCACTTTGCGTATCACCCTAATGAAAGTAAAATAACATACATGAATTTAATTAGAAATAACATACATATATTTAAAAATAAATCATATAGTGATATTAGTGATATTTTTCAAGTCCAAGAACGCAAAACAAATGACTGACAGCAATTGGCAGAACAATCCACAATAACAAAACAAAAACAAGTGTATGTACACTATACACTAAATCAAATAAAACTTGAAATTGATATGGACTCCATAGTAATTATAAAGTGATGTTGGACGTTTCGAAGAGTGAGCACAACCTGCGCCACTTGTGACACCCACTGCATATCTTTTTGTGCCATAATCAAAATAACATAAAATACATTTTCTGTATAGTGTATGTGTGATTGAATAATGTAAATACCAATTACAGTTTAATAAATTATGGTGTGACAAATTAACATTTACTTACGCTAAATGCCCATGACACGACTAAAAACAAATGTACGAACCACCTGAACTGTTTCCCATCCATACTGTCGGTAAACTATCAAAATTATAGCCTGTGCTGTATTTATATTTCTTCATCTATATCCAGTTCTGCCAGGCGATGTTAATACTTAGCCAAATGCAAATATTAACTACAAATTACCCATTTTGTTTACATCAAAGGAAGTCATTATGGCCATGTGTTATAATACGGATTCTTTTGCCAGCATACTTTGTACTTATTACTGATACAAGTACTTAAATAAAAATACAATATGTAACTTCATTTCACTTCAAATACCTCATTTCCCCCAGTACAATTTGCCAATTGGAAAAAGGTGTTATGCAACATATAACAACACAGCTCATTAAACACAACCGCTATCTTTATTACATCATTATGCTTTTTCGGATAAAAAGAATCCCACGCAATACGTAACATTGTTATTTTAAGTTTCGAATCCAATTTCGATTTTATTTCATTTTTGTTATCATGCTCGAATAAATGTGCTCGAAGAAGATTACCAATTATTTACGTTCTTTATTTTTTAAAGCAGGCGCAGAATTTAATTTTAATTAGTAACTATATTACCAGTGAACATTTATCCACGCAAAAGTGTATAGTTTACTCTAGACATAAAGGGTATCTTATGAGAGATGCTACAATATCAGATTCATTAAACTTATTTTTGAAGTCATCATTTTATTTCCGGATTCAAGGATGGATTTGTAGTATTACTAGTACTTTTAAAGTCGTTGTCATTTCGCGTTCCGCGACGTATCGCCACACAGCTTTTATATGCGGCTTTATATCATACACGCGTTCTCGCAGACTACTGAAACAGGAATATTAAAATGATATGTGTGTAAACCACCATATCTTG